TGTTGACGCAGAAAAATGGTTTAATACTTTCCCGCGTAACTTAGTGATTTAGTCTCTTCGGTATCTGATGTCCTCGGTAGGGTGTGCGATCTGTAAGATAACAAACACACGGTAAATCCTAGGGCACCGGTGTGGTACCGGCCGAAGGCTCTCCGATGCTTTAGTAAGTACGGATTTAGTAAGTTTGAACTACAGATCAATAGGCAGTATGCCGTCAGTTCTGATTGATTACCTTCAAGCTGGGATGGGTGTCCTCTTTTATAGGCCTTGGGAGGTGTGCAATTTGTCTAGAGTTTCGATGTGGGACTCTGGGCGTCAGTTGTGAGGCTGCCACGCGTCAGAGGGGGCGAGGTTGCCCTAATGTTGCGATCGGTAGGTTTGTTGCCGAAAAGGGGTGCCGAAGGCACACCTGGCCCTGGTTTAGCCACGTCGATATTCATTGGCTGTTCATTTTGGTATAAACACCACTTGCGATATTTATGAAAGATATTTGAAATTTCCCTTGCATAACTGGGAAAACAGTATATCGGATGAATGATTTGTGAGTATAGCTAGGAAAGCACTATATCCGATGAATGATTTGTGAGCATGGAATTAATAATGGGAGGTATACATTAACATATCTGCCACACGCTTATCTCGAGTTTGACAATATACGTTCTTTGTGTCATTAATCCTTAATCAATTGTATATCGCTAAACACAAAACATGTTAAAATTGATTATCACTTTATTAGATGATATACAGTCGCTAATCATTTGGTCATTGTCTAAATGTGTTGTGGCAGCAAGATTTCACCAGTCAATTAATATAATGACACGTGAACAAAACCGAAGGTTATTGGAGGAAATTGCCCTCAAGCGCACATGGGAAAGGGATCTGTCCTAATCACACATTGATTAGGAACAAACGTCATCATTTCAAGTAGGTTCCAAAAGAAGTCACCTTTATCCAGTGGCGAAGCCAATGTTTCATGTATATAGAGACCTCTTTCAAAATATAAACAATAAAAAATTCGAACTCAAGACATAACAAAACATCAGAAACCATAGTGATTATTCATTACAATCATAAATTGTCCTCAACGAGTTTTCGCTACTACAATTTTGTTAAACCACGACTCAAAATAGACGATGGTGCACCTTAAAACCGTTGTCGTGTTTTAAAAGACGATGGTTTTACAAAACCGTTGTGGTCTTATACACTACTAAAATGGAGTTGCGTTTTTAAAACACACTAAACAAAAGTTGTCGCTTAAGTAAATTCGCCCTCAACCAAAAATTCAAATTTCCCCGTGTTTGTGAAAACCTTAGTTCTCCCTCGTTGAAACCCTCATGAGCTCTCTGAAACACTCCCTCTCTCACCTCTATGCTCCTCATACGTACCTACCAGCCATGCCGTCGATGCAATGATGCCAAAAAAAATTCAAAAGCACTCCTTCTCTCACCTTTGGATTAGTGCTAGTGTCATAAGCAAGTGTATGGTATATCTAATCTTTTTTTGTCTCAACCATCTTTTGTGCAAGATCAATAATCTCTTTCAATTATGTAAATTCATTAAGTTTGAGAGAAAACTCACTAACACTGAGAAGTCTGCTTGATAAGTCCATAAATTTACGCATTTTTGTACTCTTTATACTTAGTTTTTGTAGGGGAATTTGATTTAAAAAGGACTTATTACTTTATTATTTTCTCAATTTGCAGCTTTCCAAAGCAAGTAACTTGTTTTCAATGGAAATATGACTTTTTGGTGGAGTTTTAGTTCAAGACTAGTTGGAGATGAAAGCTAAGATCTTGAAGATGATTGTGGAATTTTTATAGAATTTTCGAAGCAGCCAATGAAAGTATTAGTTGAAGTTAAGTCAGCATAAGGTGCAAACCCATTGAAATTGTATTGCTGTGGAAGAATGATTATTTGAAGACTTTTCTGGTTTTTCCTCAAGGTGTGCGAGATATGGCTGGAAAGATAAGACAAAGCCTGCAATTTAGATATTTTTCCCGAATTTTCTTGGAGGAGGAAAGACCCCAAACGTGCGTGCAAAATAACTAACGTGTTATCCCAGTTCAAGTAGGAAGAGGAGTCAATTACTTACCCATTTTGGATTTATATTTTAATTAGGTTTTTCTTTATTTTTGGGCCGCTGTAAAAGCTCAGATAGAG